TACCCCCTTTATATTATTGTACACGCCTGATGATGAATTAATCGAAAACGTCAGTTCGCCTATCTTGACTTCTTGAATGTCTACTTTGTTCGCCAAAAGGGGACAGAAGTATGTAGTATTGAAGCTGCGTATACGTGCAATATGATATGGTTACCGATTAGGTGCCACAATTGCGAAGTGTTATACGGAAACTCAATAGCATGTGCCGCGTTACCCAAAAGGGTTTCTCATCGAGGTATATATTGACGAGATGAAGGCACAGTTGTGGTTATCCGTCTACGCTTTAAGCTAGAAGCATTCGTTTGTATGAGATGCTTGCATGAGAGATAAATACTTCCGCTTGTACAAATTAAATCTACTTAAAAGGTATCTTGTGGAACTTAGTTAGGGCAACCATTGCACCATTTCGGGTAAATATGTTGGCTCCTGTACGAGTGAAATATATAAACGCCTATCGAGTGTATCGTCTCGCCTATATAAATATACATAGTTAAAATGTATTTTCCACTTTATTTTCGGCATATACCAGACAGTCGTTTATTAAACTTATTATGCCGATAGAATATCAATTTCTGTCGCTTTTGAGTGACAGTTTAAATAATGATGCCGACATCACTAAGATAGCAGAATAATGGACTTGCATCCATTCTTTTTAGCCATAAGGTTTATCGCCTACATTCATCCGGCACCTTCCGAGTTAATCGGCTAACTGTCAATCTAATACGTTTCTGATAAACCATTTTCTGTCATAGATTTTTTACTGGTAATGAACTAACTGCGTCCGCGTTGGGTCATGATGGCAGTCTACACACTTTTATCTCAGACTATTTCGATGAATATATCCTTTTAGCGAGTCGCAAGCACCGTAAACTCTACAACTGCCGACTTCACTTCTCTTTGGACATTCAGGTCATCCTTTAGTCTGCGGTGTTTTTACTCGTAGGACACTCTCTCCATCGACTCACGGGGTTTACAACTTAAGGAACGTTTGGATCATCTAGGAAACGTCACCGAAAAATCTGATGCATTTTTGCAGACTTATGCTATTAAAAGTATTCCTTCTGCGAGAATCAGTGGCTTTTGAGTCTAGTTTTTGTGCAGTATAATCTAATGATGAACATCCGTCTTGTGATTTGTTAAGTTATAAAGTCTATATTAAGAGTCGACAAAAGGACAGTTCTAAATTTTATGTAAAATGTATTTGCCCCATATATCGTCCGAGGCGGGTCACTTAAAAGGAGCAATTTGTTCATTTATAAACACCCACGTCAAACACGCACGCATCTATCTGAAGTCAAGTATTTAAAACCTACGGCTTATGCAACATTACATGTAATAACTGGTCAGATTTTAAGCAAAATTGAAAAGTAACAACTTGTACAAAATCTTACAACTTGCTTCCTTTTGAAAAGATTATCTAGATTGGGTGTTATTACTGCGTAGAATTAAAATATTGCCCTATATCAATCTAAATATATCAATTTGGATTTCTAGAACCATTCTTCCGCGCACAATGCAAGTATATGCGAGCAAAGTATGCTATTTTTGGGTTTCAGATATATCCACATACGCAATTTCTCTGGTATTCCCCTATCTTACAGAGACATATTACACTGAAACACTGTCTGGTAAACTTAATAATCACGGCCTTGCTTGTTTCTGACTTTAGGCCTTTAATTAGCATTTACTGTGAGTTGAACATATGTGCGAAGTTATGTCTGTTGATTACTAAAGCCGGTTAGCGAGGTAAACATTGATGCGACTGAAGATGGTAAGTCGGCAAACTGATCTTAATTATACCTTCTGCAACATATGCACGTTGACATAGAATTTTTCCAATCTTAGCCACCGACATTTTGCTGAACGGTTTGGCTCCAAATCGTGTGAACATCTACTTATACGGATATTGGCACCTATTTGCAAAACAGATAGCTTACGGAGTTAAGTGACCACAACACCTTCTGTCAAACATTTATATTATCATGGTCCGGCAAATAGGACAAACATGTGACAACAGATCAAACCTGCCTGGTCTATAAGTTCTACTGAATCCATGGAAGCACCTAAGCCTGCAAGATACGCGCTAGCTATCTCTCGGTCAAAATCCAGAGCCATATCCAAGAAGGCCATCTGCGTCTGGAGATCATTTGACAGTTCGATCATCTTATTAAACGAGGTCCACAGGGACGGCGCCTTGCACGTTAATTAGATAATATTGAGAAGGGACTTGCACGGAATTCATCGCAAGCTCTCCTCTGCCCCCCCCATTCCTCGATCCCGTGTGACGACCAAGTCAAGAAGACTGAGGGCGCAGACGGCTGGCGCGACTGGAGCCGACCCTAGGTGTGCGACCAAACCTGGCTCGGATCAAGAGGAGTGAGTGCCGTGGAAGTCATGCTAAGAAGCAAACATTGCTCGCAAATTATGCACTACCAACATGTTTAGAATGGGCTATTCTCTGATTGAAGATAAAACCTTCCGGTTTTTTTCAGTATTCCGATTTTCAGGCATTCTCTCTAGTCCAATCATCTTTTATGTCACAAACGTACCTCAGTCCAACCAAGCTGGCCATGATGTCGGCGTTTTAAAAAAGCGTTTTGAAGTGGCTTACGGTGTCTGTAAATTTGCATTCTGTGATGAGAAACAAGGTTGACAAATTTCGTTGAATATGAACAGTTCTCTAACTTTTGCATAACTGTCTGCCGAGGTGATATCGCAGGTGCTAGCAATTGTTGAACCTCCTCAGAAACAGTTGATCATAATCATATAACGTGCCCCAGTCCGAATCCCATTCTAAATTTCTAGTTTTAACAAGGCATTTTTTTTCATAACTTCATTACCTACCTCTAAAAATATTGTTCCAAATGCAAAAAATACGTAAACAGGAAGAATTTAGTGAATATTTTGTCGTGATAGAGATTTATCTAATAAGTTCCAACTATAGTTTGTCTGCCAGTGTTCATGCATTAGTCTGATGTTATATCGCCAAATCTCTTTGCTTGCAGCATATGTGCATATGGCTGTGTAGGTCTCCCACTGCCATCGATATCGCTTCATCGGGAATATAACTTTCAGCATCACAAAACGAAGCATCCAAAATGCATGCATCAAACTCTTTTTACACCCACTTCCGCGCACGCAACTGCATATGCAACGTTCATTTAGGGATTAACCATTCAATTACCATTTCCTGGAAGGAGTACTTCGTGAGCAGTTGAAACTGAAAAAACCAAAAGTATGATGAATTCACTGCTTACCTTTTAGTCTATATAGGTATAATCACTGAAGACAATTTTGTTGACTAAACTGCTCTTCAGCTAGTAATAATTTCTGTGTTTTGCTAGAGGGATATTGTCACATGCTGAAAAGAAGTTTAAATTCGTGCACACGAAGCTTGTAATCGATAGGGCGACTTCTAGGAAGCAGTTCAGGCGAAGATGCGATCACTGGAAAATAGAATTTACGTTTCCGATCCCCCCTCAAAAAAATCCGCAGATGCGGTCGCAGATAGGATTGATGAGAGCGTCAAGGTTGCAGCAGTATATTTTGTGCTGAGACTTCTCTTAGACGCCACGCCTGGGGGGAGGAGAACGCGAGCGACCAACGAGTCCAGTGACAGCGAGCTATATTTCCGAGTCGTCATCATCGCGCCAAGACTCGAGGTCTGTAATGACATTTTGAAAATGTCAAAAACTCGGACGCAACCTAATGGACAACCACCGCGTGAGGTACGACAGGCCGCGATGAATGCAGGATCTGCTAATTGGATCGGGCACGTAGCGGCATGACAACTATGTCCTATATTTACTGCCCTCCCATGGCGTTCTCGTCAAACATATCTGCCACAGTCTCTGATGCTTGAGTTCAGCGAGACTTCGAAACGCCAGGCTTATAAACTTCATGCTTCAGCGATCGCATCTTCGTCTTCTAGAGACATGTAGCCATCTACACTCCCCCTGACCACGAACTTAAAATCGGTTGCTTCCCAAAAGAGTTTTGCAGATTATTAGGAGGTTTGGCAGCTTTTCTTAAGTTGAGTTGACCCAATTGTGAAGAAACTCGAGGCGTTGGCGGGATTTGAACCCGCATAGTAGAGAAACCAACGCTCTAACCAATTGAGCTACAGAGGCCCCAACTCGCGCCATGAATTTAATCACACTTGGGTCGATTTTACCCGCCCAACTGTACCGCTCGTATGGAATTCACCAGTACGGACCAGTAAGCTGACTGCCCAAGCAGGATTTCCTAAGCAATCATCTAAAATCCAACAGAATGACTATAAGGCTGACTTGATTATTAGAAGGTTTGGTAGATTTGCTTAATTTGAGTTGATCCAATTGTGAAAAACTCGAGGCTTTCGGCGGGATTTGAACCCGCATAGTAGAGAAAGCCTTTACCGGAAGCCGAAGCTCTAACCAATTGAGCTACAAACGCCCCACCTCGCGCCATGAATTTAATCACACTTGCAGATGTTTTGAGACGTACTTCGGAGGGACCTTACGCTGGTTTTCTGCATTGGATGACAGCGGTAAATTATGCAGCGGAGTGTCTTGCCTTATGAACAGTTCCGTTTAATCAACTGCGCACATATCAATGTGATCTTTGCTTTGTTGGAACGAACCCTGGGAGATGGTGGTAACTTTCGCCTGGTTAGGATTATGGTTAAAAACAGTAACGCAGCATCTACTCCACTCTCTCGCTCTCTGGTCCCGAGCATTGTGAAGGCGCATGGTCAAGGATAGCAGACTGGGCAGAGTGGTAGAACCACTGTGTTCTTTAATTCCCACAGACCAGTCTTCCTGAATTCCGGTTTTATATCACTCAGAGCAACGCTGCCTAGCCACGGGAAAAAGGCATGATTTTCAGTACAAATGATGGCCACGGGAGGCAGTCAGTCTTGAGATGGCTAAAAAAACACGTCACCTTTGCTTATATCAGGAAAGATTTCTCAGCAGGTTCCCAGTCCTCAGTTCCTTTCCTCCCAGTGGCAAGCTTGAATCCAGGCGACTTAACTGAAATCAGGTGCAATTGCGGCGTATTATCGTTGTCTAACATACTATAAACCTGGTTAGCGACCGTTTATGTCAGGACGGCGACTGAGAAGAACAAGAGGAAGATTCGATCCCTAGGACAACACTTTATTTGCCTGACGTTTCGACATCCGACGCAAATTCTTCATCAGAGACATAAGCAGAAACTGCTTCTGCCATGGCGTCTTTTATTGGGGCCTAGTAGGCATAAATAAACATGCTTACTTAGCGGACTCATCGGCAGATTTCCACTGTTTAAAATTAGTACAAAGTCATATCCACACTTTAACGTATTAGATAATTAATGGCTATGTTCCCAAAACCATCGCACAGTACCAAAAGCTGGAAAACACTCGCAAAAGCATGGAATTGTTATTCAATACCAAGCCAACACGACCAATAAACTCATTCAAACTCCAGACGAAAATCCGCTGGCCTTTCAGAGAGGGATTTCGATTCAGTGATTCAAAGCATTTCAGCGTAGCCTTCATGAGGACATAACAACGACTTGTAGTGAATAGAAAGGCCTAGACAACTATAATGTATTTTTGCGCCAAGCAGCGCCCTCAGGCAGCTGTCATCTTGACACTCGAGACCAAAACCAATTTTGCTGACCTGCATCCTTTTCTTTTCAATGCGATCACATGTTCAGTTGTGGGCATTCTATGTGATTAGTGGCGCAAATCTCTACACGAAACATATGTGTGTGTCCTGAAATATCACAGGCCTGTGGCCCTTAATACAAACTTTCGTGGTGAACTTGTTACAATGTTTTCTTTAATTCGCAGCCTCTTTGCCTGTTGGAACACAACCGAAAAAATTTGGGCGTAAAGTTTGTATGATTACAATGTCACTGTCTGAAATCATCAGATGGATACTTGGTAGGTAAAAGTTTAGTATCACTTTTTTTCGTGAACAATAAGCAATCAATGAGAATGTTTACGCTGACTTCGCCGGGGCATTTTTTACGTCTGAAAATTGGCAGACTTTTCAACGGAACACTTAGCAGTCCGCATGTGTATCTTGACACGTGAAACATTTAGAAAACAGCTAGCACATGTTTCCGAACGTCGAAATAAGCCTACTTTTAGGACAAGGTTACGCTAAGCATGGAACTTAGGCTCCGACAAATAAAAGCAGTAATGTGTTTAGATTTGATTGATGACTAGCCTAGGCACGTCTATTTAGCACGCTTTGGAGCGTCTTGCAAACTATGCATTAGTTCATTCATTCAGAACGTAAAGTTTAATGTCTTTTGCCAACAAATACTGCTTTCAATGCAAATAGTAAAGCACCATTGTCCGCCTAAATGCAAGAGGCTTTGATTTAAGCTATAAGAACAAATCAAAATGCCTTTTGTCTCTAAACTTGATTAAATATTAGCATTATATTCTAGAACTATTGGTGATTTTCTAAGTATAACTAAAAAAGAAACCAAGGAACTCCTAATAGATATACGTATTCAGCCATTTTTCATGCAATTAAATTGAGTGCATTAATATGCTCTGCATACCCAACCACTGAAATCTTTTTTTCGGTTCAAAGCTTCTGGCAAACAAGCACAGGAATTTGGTTCACTCTTTTTAAGAAAAGAATACTTTTCATTACCTAGCATGACGAACCTACTTTTGGAATGACCAAAAGTGATCAAATCTTTTCTATTTTCTGTACGAGTTAAGCGTTGAATTGTGTAGATATCGCATGTCCATAGAACGCCCCAAAACCCAAGTAAAGCCGAAATGTTTAATTAATTCTGCGTGAGTCGCGTTGCGGTCCCTACTGATTTCGTATGAATGTTTCTTACCAATTTAGGTTACCGTGTGCGAAGTTATGTTTTATATCACTGTGGGCTTGCTTTTGCGTCACGTTCACTTTCAAGCTATCGGCAAAGGTTGCTTATGTAGTCCCACTCATATAACCCTAGTCCCAACATTTTGTCCTACGAACCTGGTGATTATACGGTTTCAGGGGGTGGGGAAATAAGATAGGCACACAAGGAAATTTTTAGATGTAAGTGTAAAGTGAAAGAATGCAGTCGAAGTTGTTTCCCGCGGCCGCTGGGAGTTAGTTGTTCCGTATGTGATTTTAAGGTGTGCGCGGCGCTTTGCGCCACGGGCTGTACTAATCTAACTCCAGAACGGTAAGTTGGACCTCAGGTGATTTGAGGTAGACGACCTCTTAAGCGTAATTTCTATTGTTCGGGAATTTCAGGAAACCTTA